TATATATATATATATATATACACACACACACACACACACACACACACACACACAAAAATGTATGTGACTTGTCCTTTTCGCACACTTTCTCTTCGCTTGCACGACTACTAACCTTTAAGATGGGAATGATTGAAATATTGCACCTGAATACCCGGTTAGTTGTATTTTTGCCGACATGAGCGTGGCTTTGAAGAGAAATGAATGCTGACAAATAAACAGCTGCGAGCTTAAAAGGAGAACTGAAATAACCTTGCAGCCGAACAAGGAACTAACTTGAGAGCATTGTGATGGCAGAGGTTTCAAATAATCACGACAGAAGTGCACTCCATAAGAGCCATTAAAGATAAATACAAAGGCCAAATGAAACACAGAAAGACAAATCAAACTTGAAACGACTTCTGTTTTAGAAACAAATAAAGACAAGATCCAAACCTGAAACCACTTAGCGTGGCGAAGAGACGCCAAGGCAGTTATGCATTTCTGCCTGTCCAGAGCATCCGGGGGATCGTTGACTGATAGCGTTTCTATTGGCAGGTGGAATAAGAAGACAAGGTACAGTTTGACCAAGGGGAGTTCTGTCATCCGGCCGGGGGAACACAGGCAGCTTTCCCAAACCACAGGGAGAAGAGGTAAGGGGAGGGGGTCTCCTCCGCTGGAGAACCACCAAATGCTCGGAACCTCCGATTTCGTATGGTGTTGCATGTTACCGCAGGGACAAAATCCACTTCAAATCAACTGGCACCATTAACGTGAATAAAGTTGGCGTTTGGAAATGGAAACGTGTTTGCGGAGGTTGCATCTCCATGGTTGCATCAGTGTTGTGCTTTTTTTTCCCCCCCTTGAGATTGACAGGAGGTAGAGCCCCTCCCCTTTGCCTCAATACCGGGTACGCTGCACTTTGCCCCTTCCGAGACAGAGAGCGGCCAGTTGGTCAAAGGTCCAGCGTCCCTAAAATTGACAAACTAGAAGGCTTGACAAAGAGAATCAGAATTGGAACCACAGGTACATGTTATCAGGTACACAAAAGGTGGGTATCAAAACAAGTCTGCACTGCAGCAAAACTGATGGCTTGCAAAGACCCAAACTGGGGGGTCCCCATCAGCACAGGGTTGCAGATCAGGCCATGGTTTAGCGCCTCCTGAATCCTTCATCCTCATTTCCACCAAACGGTGACGATTCATTCCGCACGTGTGCACTTTACTGTGTTTTCATTTTAAGCACGAGTTCCGCTATTTTTGTTTTGGTGGGGGTTTTTTAAAAAAATATATATCGGTAAGACTACCGTTAATGCACCGGATTGATAAACAGCATCATAAAGTGTGGTAGTATTGAAGTATTGAAAAGCATATCAATATCCATCTCTATCTCAAGCTTGATCAGAGTTTAGCTAATCCGAACCATACTAAAGTGGAAATGACCGCTTGGTGGAAACGTGGCATTATTTGACATTTAATTAAGGCTATGGAGAGATTTACCAACGAACACTTGCCGCTGCCTAACTGCAATTGAAGATTCTGTAAAGTATGGGGGTGGGGACGGGGGGGGTCAAACCCCAAGGACCAATAGGGGCATCAATGTGGAATATGGGATTTCTTGTCCTTATCTGCAACCTGCGGAGAAAAACTTGCAGTCAAAAGCCCACCGCCGGGTTAGCCAAGCAAGGACAGTTTCACGATACCTTGTGCTACTCATTTTTGCTGCAATGCAAACCGTTCATGAATGATAAAACACATGCAAACAAAGTGGTCTCTTTTGTGTTGGTTGAAATTCTCAGTAAGCCTTCATTTCTCCAGTGACCTTGATCAGAATGAGGTAAGACAAATTCTTGTCTTCGGCACACAGGAAAGCTACCTGCCCTATACTGTATATTGGGCCATCAAAAATGTATAATTACATCACATGGAACTATGAGAGTGTCTACAGAGCTATAAGTATAGCACAGTTTCATTATGTGACAGTGGATTCTTGTCCCCTAGCTCCATTGAAGGCCCAATAAACAATATCTAACTTGTCTGCATGGCCTCCCGACTGGAGGTGTAGGGGTGCCATAAAAAGAAAAGCAAAGAAAAACGCAGTCTTTTTGGGCCTTACCACCGGCAGCAGCCCTCTCCATCTCCTCACGAACTAACGGGGACGTCAAATGAATGGTGAGGGTGAGTGGGGGCTCCTCTGTGTTCTTGATCACGATGCAGGCCTTTTCGATGTCTTGACTCACATCATACTGCTCTTCGGTGACAACCTGCAGGAGGAGGATGAAATAGTTATGAAACACTTTTGCCATAAAAAGGCGTTTATTTAATCTTTATGTTGTTTTAACAAATTAAGCTCTGCTCCCACCTTCAGTTGCGTATCCAAGTTGTCAGCCACCTTCTTTAACAAAGTGTTGGTTGGCTTCTCCCTGCAGAGGAGCACCAGCTCAAGGTCCAGATCTCCCTTCAAGAGAAGGCCCTTGGCCACAAGGCCCACTCTCATCACGCCACGAAGGGTACGTGTCACTTGTTCTTTGTGGTCACTGCAACATGAAAAAGGCAAGCGTAAGTTGAGGCAAAAACTGTTCTGATTTTTTTGTTTCAGTTAAATCAGTGAACACTCACCTCTCTTTATCAGCATCTACACCATCACCATCACATTTCTCTTGCTTATCCAGCCAGTCTGAGACTGCCTTGAGCGCTCGTTCTGTGTGGGATACCATGTTTTGCACATTCTCCAGTTCCTCCTGAGAAGGGTAGATGGCAGAATGCTTGGCCATGACATGGCGGTCATCATGCAAGAAAACACGTAAGGAACGATGTCGTAATGGAGGGGCCTGTGAGTGAAAAGTAGCAGAGGTGTGGTTATGTACAAGACAAAGTTGCGAGTCATTTCAGGAGTCTGAATCTGTGATTACCATCTTAGTTTCAGACACGAATTTAGGAGTGTCGGGTAGGTTGTCTGCAGAGAGCACGAAAACACAAAACGTTAACAGTATTCTTCAACAACATGTTATTGCGAATTCGCTGATTAAATGCATCGTGAACCATATGGAGCTTTTGTTGAGCAAGGAAACTGTAGTTCATAGTGATGTGAAAAAAGTTTCTCAAAAAACAATAGCGCATAATACCAGTTATTGCTGCCAATTCAAGCCACAAACCGCGTGGCATAAGGTGCACAGGAGCCAAATTAATTTTGTCCCCATACAATCATATGTAGAATTTCTAGATCTTAAATATTGTAATCGACTACCTTACCTCGCATTCAGCGGTAACAAACTCCTGATACAACGCACAGTGGCTGAATCGTGTAACATTCCATCGAGCACATTTACACGTTATTGCGCTTAGCGTACGACGGAAAATAAAACATTTGAAGGAGCGTGGCTAAAGGACAACTTCATTTTGCGTTTAAAAGGAGACGCCATTTTAATTCAGCAACAGTGATGGCGGAGGCCGCTAACGTTCGGCGCCCACCCTCAGAATACAACTCGCTCTCTTCCATGTTCTCACCGAGTCACAACGGTAACGAACGTGTACGCCGAGGGAAACGATCTGACGCAAACGCGCAGACATAGTTATTCTCATTAAGACATCAAAAATCGGACATGCACGAGAAAATGGCACCCAAACATACGATTCTTCAAATGAGCGTGCTAGCTTAGCTTGATCGACGCGGGACTTTGATTTCGCGAGAGAACCTGTTCAATCGGAGGACGACATTACAGTGTTCATAGGGTGTTTCAAATGCTATGCAAACGTTTACATTTGTCATCTTACTCACCTCGGTACTAGGTAGTTTCCTCTGCACATAGGTCTGTTGCAGCGGGAAGACCGTCGTCGATTTAGTCACACCCACTATTTTTTGGATTGGACTCGGATGGATTGATGGTTTTCTCCGGCCAATGGAAAAAATAAAGCGCTCTGCGTAACCGGTGGCGTCATGTTCGAACCGCCTACGTCATTATTACGCGTCGAGAATGCGTAGCGTAAGTCTTTTTTTCTGGTAAACCGAAATATTGAATGACTTACTATACGTAAACGTACACACTACGCATTTATTTTTAGACCAAACGTAAACAAAAACAGGGAATCTCTATTACATAAATAAAGAAAACATTATTATTAATTTTGAGGGGGTATGCAAAGTCCAGGCAACTCGAAATTAGGGAGTCCATACGAGAAATTGTGCAGTGAAATACAATTTCTCCGCCTATTTCATCCGTAATTTCATTGTTATTGGAGGCTGAAGTACAGATGGGCTGTGGCATTTCTTTTTCACCGGGTGGTGGGCTGGATCTGCACTTTTATCCAGATCCTCGCCCAAATTCAATGAGCTTTTCTTACCAAATGCTTCTCCGCTCCCAACTGTATCCGTCTCATTGTATACTGGCAAAAAAAATACTCACCTGCTCCTTTGAAACACAAATTCTTACTAGTCCAATAAATACTCTGGCATTTTTATTTCATCCTGTCAATTTTAAGATTTTCACAAGACAAGCATAAACACATTCATGCCACTGTAGTACACAAAACAAACATACATTTTTTCCCCCACACATTCACGTCTTCAAAATGAGGTAAAATTAAAGTGCTTTGCTTTTGTCGTTCAGCATTTCATTTAACATGTTTACAATTCACATTATTATGTTCATTTTCATTCAGACTTTGTGGAGTAGTCTTCTCATTTGTGGCAAAACTTGACACATGGTCTACTTCAACAAATAATCTTGAATTAGATTTTGTTCTCACAGAGGACAAGCACCAACGCAAACATGTTGATTTTACATTCACAAAAAAGAAAAAAAAACCCTGTCCAGTTTGTTACAGATTAGGTCCTTTTTCGCCTTAGCGGGCTAAAACAAACCAAAACTAGCATGCATCATGAGTCTTCCATTGGTATTTCAAATGATCTTTTTTTTTTCTTTTTTAAGCCACTTGGAGGATCAAGCCCTGACCAAGACGAACAGGCCAAGGGTTGATGTTAAATATCAGATGGCACGATGTCACTCTCTTAAACCTTAACATTGTTTTTTTCTGAGTTCTGAAAGGAGCTGACATCCCAGCGGAAAGACCGAAGCATGCTTCCCTTCAAACTGGCTTGCCTTTTAGTAATCCTGTAGATCTTCTTGAGGATGGCACGTCGCAGCAAGATGTAGACCCATGGGTCCAGGATTTGGTTACACGTAGCCATCCTAACACCCGTTACCATTAAGGCCCTGTAAGTGTCCCTGTCGGGGCCGAGGGAGCCGCTGTAGGACCGGGTGGCTGACATCAGTCCAAAGACCTACAGACAATTTATGACACAATTTGAGACTTGTCTGGTGTCATCTAATACGGATATTGCTAATATTGTTAGCCTTATTAGCAATGTGAGTAAATTGTGACTGTATCGTATCTGGAACTTTTATAATAATAAAAAGTATTTTTTTTTTTTAATAGTATAAAATACCTCCCTAGGTTCACTAAAGGTCGAGAATCACAGAATTTTCCACTCTTCAGATGTGGCTGCAACTCACCAGCAGAGGGCTCCAGCAGATGCACGAGGCGACCATGATGCCGACCAGCTGGACGACCATCTCGGTGTCGTGGGACCTGGCCGAGGTGCGCTGGGAGCTGGACTTCTTCCTTAGCCTTGCTCTGACGAGGGTGATCCCGCTGATGGTGTTACACACAAAGGCTATGGCCAGTGAGCTCATTGCCAGTCCAGAGAACAGTGTCACAAAGGCCAGATCTGTGGCTCCGGTGCCCTCCATCACCCTGATAAAGCACCACGTGCCCGGGTACTGATAAGTGTAGGCTCCCAAGTTGCAAAAGGGCATCAGGGCGACACATAATGCCAACAGCCAGATGAGAGCTAGTGTCATCTTCGTCCGTGCGTTTGTGACCAAACGAGCGTGCAGCAGAGGCCTGGAGACACCCAAGCATCGCTCAGCGGCCATAGCGCAGCCGAGGAAGAGGGGGCACAGGCCGAAGAACACCATGCAACACCCCAAAAACAGACACGGGACATCTGGATCAGTTAGGAGATCTCCTCGAGAGGTGGAGGGTGGGTCAGCCAGGTTCGCAATCCCTTCCGAGTATCTTCTTAGCACCAAGGCTCCATTGATGACGTGGCCAGCCAGATCGGTCGCCACCAAAGAGCTGGCAAAGAGAAGAAAGGTGGCCTTTGACCTGCGCCGAAAGCGGGCGTAGGCTTTGGCAAGAATGATAAGCGCCACAATGTTGAACACAATTCCCAGCGTCATGGTGATGCCGGCAGCTGTCGGATTAATTCGCGGACGGGTGGAATTACGGAACACGGGTACCACTTCTTGCTTATGCACGATCGCGCTGTCATTCGAGGGGGACAGAGAGGCAAAATTGCCAGAGGCGTTGTGACGCTGCATTGCCGACATTTCTGCTGATCTTCAGGTCTGATGTCGTTCTTTATGGCTGAGAGGGTTCTGAGGGGGAAAAGACAGCATTAGCACGATGAACTGATTCATGGAGGAGCGCTCGGCAGAGCGGAGCCCTTCACCAAGGTTAAACTGTTAGCAAACGTGAACTTGCTGTGTCGTTATGTGTGAGTTATGCCCAAAAACATTGCGGCAAGTGGCGGTTTCCTGTAATCTGCCTTGTGTGCTCTGACAAGAACGAGGAGTTAAATGACAAAGGCAACACAAAACACAATTTCCTTGTTTTTTTTTTGCTTGAGGCAAATGACGTTAGGCTTATGCAGGCAGGATTCGCCTTTTTTCATTTTGGAGGTAGGTGGTCACTTCATCATAAAAATGACATTCAATGTCCACTTCCAAATTTGCACCATAATTAAGATTTTTTTTTTTTTTTCGTCCTGATAACTAATTACCTCACGTCCTTGGTAGAAAACCCCGAATGCCAATCAACTCAGTACCTGTTGCCTCAACAACTCGATGCTTGGCAGAAGTCATAAAAGGGGATATCAAAACACCAAGCTCCACTTTGTCTCCCATTATGCTAACAATGTTGTCATCTGAACATGTTCTGACAGTTTTTTTTTTTTTTTTTACAAACCCAGTTGGAGAGCAGCTTTATGTTTCATAGACTCACTTAGACCCGTTTTCCATTCATGTAATGAATGGGAGCAGATCAAAACAAGGCAGGAATGTGTGAGGGTAACGAGATTTGCCACTAAATGAGAATAATCAAATGCATTGTAACAGCCGAGTCATGCTCATCAAAACACACACATTCTCTTTGAAGGACATATGTGGAGACTCGGTTGAGATTTTTTTTTTTTTAACTGAGGGAGTTATATGTGTATGTTTGTATGTACTTTATTATGTCCCCTTTTCCAATAGATCTGAAGCGAAGCCTTCTAATTAAAATTTTTAGACACTCACACACATATATTTTTTTTAATTGTAACACAATTGTCTTTTTCAGGGTGACATTAATTGTCTGACACTGGTAGCGCATGTTGTGAGACAATAAATGTGAAACCCTTGATGGATAATATTGCAAAAGGTGACAAAGTGATCTTACCTTTATTACGTTGGGAAATCCATAAAATCCCAGATTGCATTCACTTTGACAGGGATTCATTGTTGTTATCCCAAATGGAACTACTGTATCCAGGTTTCAGCGCTTTCCAAAGATCTTCTTTGGTAATTCCTCACATTGTGGCCCCATGCAGATTCCTGTTGGAGCAAGCAGCCTCCCCGTGACATTGCTCAAGCACGACCTGTGTTGTTGGACTGGTAGGCTCGCTGCTTTTATATGCGGGAGCTGCAGAAAGCCAGCATCACCTCTGGGTGTCTCACTTGGAGGAAAAACAAATGACGTCCTTGAAGGAGAGACAAGACTTGTTGGAGCACACACTCCCACTCCTATAATAGGCATGAAATTGGCAAAAAAATAAATAAAACTGGACCGATTTTACTCTCAGTTGTCAAGTTAAACAATAACTAAAGGACAAAGTATTGTACAACAATCAAAATTTCAAGCATTTTAGTTGCAACCTTTTCAGGAGTTGCTCATTTATTCTGTTGCAGTGCAATTTAAAAGCAATGCCTTATTTTCATTGGTTAATTTTCATTCAGTTTATATTTATTGTTGCAATTACTGTTTTTCTTTCATAAACTGGGGTACCAACAATTTTGGCTAAGAATTCTTGAGCGTGCTCCCGTCCAAGGTTATCTGGATTCAGCTCTGTCATACTCCTCAAAAAAAAGGATAAATGGATAGACTTCACGTGGTATAAACAGGTCAGAGTATCTTTAGTTGAACCTGCATCAAATATTTGCTTTTACGATGATGGTCTTTGCTGATAATTTTGAGGAAGAAAAGCACCCACTTTGCTGTCTGTTGTAACTGAACAACCGCAAGAGTTTGGTGAACAAATTCTTATCTACACGAGCTGGTACATTTTCCACTTCCATTGCCGGTATTTCTACATTGGTCTGTGGTGACCATAATTCTGATGAACGATGAACTTCCCACAAAGGTCGGTCAGACCACAGTTGAAGCTGATGCTGAGGACATCAGGATCTAATGTGCTCATAAAGGAGACATTTGTGAGAAACATTGCATATGAAACTTTTTTTTTTTTTTGACAACTTGGAACACTATAAATCCTATTCTGCTCACGGTACAGTGAGCACGGAATAAAATGATAGGATAAGATAGAGAGAAAAAGTGTAAGGAGAGAAGCAGGCATTTTTTTTTGGACACTGATATGAGATAGGCCCCTCAATTCATCTTTATTTTTAATTAATCTGTCTCATACAGTGGGGGGGGGGGCCGATTTTTCGTTCACAAACACAGAAAATTGGGCTGGCCGTGCGAGTGATTTTTGCGTGTCTGTGTAAATCTGTTGCTGTATACACACAACGCCCACCCCCCGCATGCATATACATATTGTAATAGACCAAAATATTAAAACGACCATATGGATTTTCTGACCCCCGTGAAGCTATAATAGCTCATGCCAGGTGTGGGCAATTCATTTTGCAAAGGGTTCACTTGAAAACCTGCAACGCTTGCCGAGGGCCAAAACCAACATGGTAACCTCATAGTTGTCGGTATTACTTTTAACGCATTTAGAAAAAGCATCTTGCCTTGTTTCAATAAATTGCTGTGTGTAGATATGGTATGCGGTCATTAAAATTACATGTGGAGTGGAGGGCGTTCCCTCCAGAGGCGCACCTGTCGCGACAACCATACCGATTATTTCACCTTGCTCACGACTCTCATATCAAGTGCAATTCTCTAGGCGTGCAGGATCTTGTTCTCCGTTATTGTCTTTGCTATCGTTTATTATTGTTATAAGTAGTCGTGAAGTTTGTCATTCATTGTGTTATTTTTGCGTTTCTCAACTCAACTGTATTCATAGAGCACTTTAAACCAACCATCGATTTCCTCCTGATTGAATCATCTTGTCCTTTCTGACAAGCTATTTACGTCTGTTTCTTTATTCCTTGCCGTTCACAAGCACTTTTTTGTTATTCGCGGTAATCGTGGCTCTGAGGCATGCAACAGCGAAAGACAACAATCTAACCTTGTAAGAAGCGAGACAGACAAGTGATCACAATCAATCCAAAACAACAGATGCGTGTTTGCGGCTAGGCAACCCCCCCCCCCAAAAAAAACATGCAATCGAAGTCAGGAAAAGTAAAATGAGATTACTTGCATCTTTTATCATCAATGTTGATCGTGGCTGAAACCACCGCTGTGGTTTCCTGCACGTACATGGCGTGCCATGTACTGAGAAGACTACAGATGAAAAGTCTTGATGAGGCGCACGGGGAGTTGATTTCAACACTTGGGGATCTTCACATGGACCTTGAAAGGACAAGTTGACCGCAGCTGCCTCTCATACATGAGAATTTACAGCGCACAACAGCAACACAGACCTCACGAACACACTTGGGACAGTTGGTCCAGCTGGAGGATGTTTCTGTTCTCGCACTGCGGGACGTGTCTCTCGGTGATGACCTGTTTTCATTGGATCCTTTGAAAACTGGAGTTCCGCCGATCTACTTTCAAAGAGTAGCTTCACAAGTAGCCTTTGGAATCAGCGGGGATTTTTCAATGGCAGAAGAAGCTCTAAAATCGTTGTGGAGGAATTGCACCAAGCATCTGAACCTTGAGCACTTTGAAGATATTTTCTCCCGGAAAACCTTATCCGTCTTTGGAGACCGACACAGCTACAATTTGGGACAGATTCTTTCACTGCGTCCGTCACTCAAATTCTGCACATTGAAGGTCTTGTCCACAGTGTAAAACCCGCTTTTTGCTGCAGCTCAGCTGTGACGGCAGTGAGGTCAAAAGGTACAGAAAATGGATGGATGCGTCTTTCCGACATGACCGAGTATGGTGTGTCACACAGTGGGGGGAGGGGGAGGGGAAACCCCACTCAAAACCCCGAACAGATTCATGCGATCTGCGGTCTGCTTTACATCACTCATGCTGACTTTGCTGATATCATCTCCACTTGTTAAGGTTCAGCATTTGGGCTGCTCACATTATCATTCCTGTCTTTTACTTCATGCGGCTAACGGCTCAATTGGGGAGACGTGCTCTCGTCCAGTTGCAACACAGTAAGTCCAATGAAAAACTCAATTTGGGTCAGCTTGGCTACTGTCGACTCCAACCAACGCGCGGCTGTTTGAGAGATGACAGTACGCTTCAGACATCTTTTGCTTATTTACGCTCAAGATCGAGAACAGATTTGATGTCTTTGCATTTCAAGCCAATTTCAAAGTGAAATGCGATTAAACTCGCCCACTGGTGAAAACAAAACAAAATAAAAAATGCTCCATTCATTGACCCGGAAGTACATAAACGCACATTTTAAGAAAAAGCGATACCTTCCAAAAAAAAAAAAAAAAAAAAACTTGGCGTGATCTCACAATCTTTGCGAGGGAACGCAGTTTTTTAAATTTTGTTTTTCTTCAATGTTATCTCAGGGGCTCTGTACTTTTGTCTTGATCTGAACATTTGCTGATCGTGTTGTTTTTTTCATTGGCTGGGGAAAAAACATGCTCAATAACCACAGAATTATTTTCGGGGGGTAAATAAGAACACTCCAAAAGAGCAGATAGCCTCTCCTGAATGCTAACGTCTGCTGAATGCTAACGTATGATTGTCAAAATGAAGCGTCTCTCAGAAAAACACACTGACGTCAACAGAACTTTGGAACCGGATTACTTGGTTGCTTGGATGATGGGAACAGAAAAAGGATGGAGAAGGAAAGGATCACGCCATGGTTAAGACCCTAAGAAAAATCCACGAAATCACAACCAGAACATGTCAACTCCACCGACGCGGGCCGGAACCTGGATTCAGACCCTCAACCTCAGCTGGGCGAACTCATCGTCCGCTGTGCCACTTTTCACATAACAAGCGATTTAAAAAAAAAAAAAATGCAACGTTATAAGTGGTGTGTTTTAACATGGCGGTCTACAACTTGAAAGCGGTCAAGTAAACAAGAGGTTTAGTCAGACAGCGCAGACCTTTGCCAGGGAGCACACTGTACTGAAACATTAATGAGGAGTCCTTGGCTCACACACCTTCACTGAAACGAAAACCAACACAGAGGTTTTTTTTTTTGCATAATCATGACTGACAAGAAAAACAACTTGTGGCCTCATTGTGTGAGAGGGGGGAGGAGGGGGGGGGGGCTGTCATGACCTTATGAAGCCATTAAGGTTTAGTCAGACAGCGCAGACCTTTGCCAGGGAGCACACTGTACTGAAACATTAATGAGGAGTCCTTGGCTCACACACCTTCACTGAAACGAAAACCAACACAGAGGTTTTTTTTTTTGCATAATCATGACTGAAAAGAAAAACAACTTGTGGCCTCATTGTGTGAGAGGGGGGAGGAG